CTCATATGTGTGTGTGCATGTGTGTTCATGTGGGTTTGAATGAAATTTGGACTATCATATCTTCAGTCAAAAAATGCGTTGGTCATCTTTCACATCATATAGACATTTTTCTTTTCTTCTGAGTAACCGGCACAAGATGCAAAGTGAAACTTATCAACAACTAGACAGTTAACGACCATAGTAGGTCCATAACGAGCACCAAATAAATGATCATCATAACATGAAGAATTTTTTTTCTCTCAAACATACAACTTTGTGACAAAAAGGTCGTGATGCACATGTATCAACATAAAGTTCTACAAGTAGTTCTTACTTCTTATGAAACACTTGACCAAGAGATATAGATGAGTTAGACATAAGAGAGACATGGGCAAATATATATTAACGTAAATGCAGTCTCAACAATAATCTAGATTCTACAACTCCCTTAAGCCATGCGAGCTAGCTGATGTCTAGGGAAAAAAGCATTAACTGCTGATACAAATACAATCAAGAAGAACATACCTTGCACATTGAGAGATTATCTGGTTATCTCAAAGCTCTCAAGAATTTTACCAGAACTTCAACTACCATACCAAAGATTCTGCTTATATCCACAGCTAAAACTTGACAACACAATTTCCACACCAACACAAGATACAAAAAATATCATTGTTTTTTTTATCAAAAATAACCAATCAAATCCATCACTCCCCTCCTCTCTTAATCTTATCAAGCAAAGCTCCTCGCCCCGGAAATGGGTTCCCTCCCAAACCACCCAAATTCCTCCCTCCAAACCCTAATTCCTCCTCCTCCTCCTCCACCCTCATTGTCTCCCTCTTCGCCCTCTTCCTCTGTCTCCTCTCCTCTCTCCTCCCACTCTCCCCCTTCACGAACCCATTACTCCCACTTCCCCTCAATCTACCTCGACCCAACAAACCCGAAACCCCAGAGTTCGAAGACGCCCGCAATGCGTTTGCTTTATCACCACCAAGAGCTCTCCTCCCTCCCCCATCCCCAACCCTAACCCTAGGTATCCTCCCCCCTTTAGAAGTCCCCAGAAGCCCAAAATCGACCAGGGCCCACCCATCCCTATCCTCATTATCCCACCCAAACCTCTCGCTAATCTCCAGCAGCCCCGAGACGGAGGAGTTCGTCGACGCACGCAAGGTGTTCGCGTTATTGCCGCTGAGTATCCTCTCGGCGTGCTCCCACTCGATGCGGTCTCTGTAGACCGGGTCATCGAGGACGTCGTCGGCGAGCTCGGCCCAGCGGAGGGAGTCGCCGGAGCGGAGGGAGGAGGAGATCCAGCGGAGGTAGGCGGAGGGGAGGGAGCCCAGCATTCTGCCCTTGTGCTTGCCGAAATCGATGCGGAGGTCGCGGGATGGAGTTGGGTTGTTGGGCTTTTTAGGGTTAGGGTTAGGGTTGATGGAGGAGGTGACGCGAGCGAGGGAGAGGGAGAGGGAGAGGGAGGAGTGGAAGTGGAGGAGAGCCATGGCTCGCTGGTTTATCGTTTGTGAGCCTGGTAGTGTTTTTTTTTAAAGTTACCCCCCTAAAATCTATTTTACCCTCCAAATTAGGGTTGCTTTCACTTTCGCAGCCCCAAAGTTTACTCAATCTTCTACTTTGGTACCCTAAAGTAATCTTTTAACACTTTCATACCCCCAAAGTTTCACTCTATTTTCACTTTGATGTGTCGAAGTGCTTTTTTTAGTAATTTTTAAACATTTCTATAACCTAAAGTTTCAATCCCCTTTCACTTTCTATATTACTCTATTTAGACCTGGTTAGATGTTTTCTATTAACTTTGAATCATGTACTTAGCAACTGGGTAACTAGATATACATGCATCACATGCTAAGAATGTGATATAAATTAACAAAAAAAATTAACAGATGATGAACAGCAATATCAAAGTGAAATAAAATTGAAACTTCAGTAAATCAATGTGTTAATAATTAATTTGAGATATTCAAGTGAAAATATGGGTGAACTTTGTTGGGGTGCCTAAGCAATATTAAAGCCTGTTGTATCAATTTCAATTATTAGAGGGACTATTTTGAAAATATTGAAGATGCAAAGCACTAACGGAAAAAGGAAAAAAAAACCCCAGCAATCTAACCTGAAAATAAATAAATAAATCAAAAATTTCCCTCATGGGAGCTTGTTTGATTAATCTCTCGATAAAAATCATTCGCAAAGTTTGCTAATTTACAACCCTCTGAAAACAGAAGCACTACAAAATCATTTCCTCGCTCTTGTAAAAGGTAAGTAAACTGAAGACCCATCTCCTGAAAACAGAAGCACTACAAAATCATTTCCTCGCTCTTGTAAAAGGTAAGTAAACTGAAGACCCATCTCGATTTGAGCTCTATACTTGCTATTTTTTTGTAAAAGGTAAGTAAACTGAAGACCCATCTCGATTTGAGCTCTATACTTGCTATTTTTGGCTCTTCTTCTTTCTCCTTTTGATCGATTCTTTGGTGGCTGAGATGCCCTTTTCCAGCTTTCAGCTCTCGAGAAAATGAGAATTTCGAAGAACCCCACTTCGCTTACGTCGTTTGTTTAGTCCACCTCTGATTGGAATCATATAATAATTTTCGAGGTTCTTTTGATTTTTGTGTCGAAAACCCATTTTAGCAACTGGGTATCGGTCAAAATTTATCTTGGGCTTTTATGGGTTGGTCTGTTCTCTGTTGAAATGATGGAATTTGAACGTTGTTTTTTTTTAATGAACATTTGTTGAGTTGGTTGCTTAACTGGGTATTGTGGCGTCCTCGAATTCTTCAATTTATTGATGGTGGTATATGTAGACATCTTTTAGATTTGTACTTACTTACCAATTCTTTCTTTTTCGTGTATGAATTGACCATTTCGAGATTGTTGCTGCTTATGTGAATTTTTGCAATTCGTTATACCCAATTAGTTATTTCCTTTTGTATGCAAACATGATATGTTTGTATCAAATCTTCATTCCTTGTGTTCGATCGAAAATCAGAGCATCATAATAATCATGCCACAGTTAGTCTATGCATTTATGCGAGTAAATGCGCGAGGTTTGCAGAAATGAATACTCCTTGAGATCCTGTAATAGTCCGTATCACATGCCCAACTGTGAAAATGCGTTCTCGTCGAGTATAGATTTGCTAGGGTTGACAAGTACCACTCTAAAACATTAAACCGCAAGTATGCATCCGGTTTAATAATTAGAAAGACGAGACACAAAGAACGTTCTGTAACCCCAGCCCTTCAACCCACATACACAAACTTCTATCCGCTCATGTTAACAATCATCAACTGGGTGATAATCTACTGGGTCTCAGTGCTGAACTCCTGGAGGTGCAATGAAAATTCCTACTGTAAAGTCTTGAATTCCTTTACATTTAGGTAGATGTACTGATTTGGGTTATGCGGTTTAAGCTTATGCTATCTCAGAGGAGCCC